TACAACTTTTAAAAAAGAAATTACATAGGGATGGGTATACTATGGGGTCTTATTATACTTAAGGATAAAGTCTATTCTGTTTTTAGTTTTACACGCAGGTCATATGATATACAAGAAAATACAGTATCTATAATTTTATAAATAAAATTTGTCTAATAATATATCTGGTTGAGTCATAAATAATTTCCGGTTTTCTTCATCAATGTATTCTTTAAAAATTAAAGTACAATTATATTAATTAATAAATGGAATAAATAAGTTTTGCCATGTTTTGATAATATCAATGTTACAACAAAGAACCTTTACCCGAAAATTATAAAATAAGTTTTAAAACAAAAATTAGAAAAGTGAACACAAAGGCTAAATATCTAGTTTATTTCTATTCTTTAATATTGTGAAAAATTAAATATTTTGACGAAATATATGTACAATATTGATATTTTAATAGATAATATGGTACAACTTTTCAAAACAAATTTACATAGTGATGGCTGTACTATGGCATATACTCCAAGATGTAATTTATTCCCTGTTTTTAGCTTCACATATGGTCATATTATATACAAGAAAATACAGCATTTAATTTTGTGAGGAATTCTACCATGGTCCCAGATATAAAAAAAAAAAAAAATCATCCACTTGATTTCAACTGTCCCTTTTGAATGCTACAAGGTTGTATTCTGCTTAATACATGACATGAATTCAGTTTTAATTTCATTTATATGAGGTTCAACAAGCAGATCCTAAGCTGAGAAGGAGGTGCTGAAAAATTCTCAGACTGGTCTACTTTGCAAAATCTGAACAAATAATGAAAGATGAGAATTTTTTAAAATCTCTTGCTGGTTAGACTGAGAACCTTTCAGTATGTGGATGTGTGTATATATAATTTCATTTAAAACCAAAATATCTTGGCACCATAATTATCTACTTCTTTAAAATAATCCTGGGTATGACAATAAACAACATCTGGCAACAAGCCCTCTGATCAGAAGATTAGAGATTTTGAGGAGTGTGGGACCCCACCTCTTAATTGCTGTTGTTCCTAGCTCCACCCTAACCCATGGCGGTAATACCTGCTAGGGTCCCAGCTATGGGAAAATATTGAACCCCCGTGAAGCAAAAACACTATATATGAAAGTATAATATATGTTAATAGTAAAAATACCAGCAATACATTTTTTTGTAAAAGAAGACTGACAAAACATGACTGGAAATCCATTATATATGTAGTTGAAGGCATACAATTGCAAACAAAATATATTTAGTTGAAGCCATAAAATTATGTTCAAATTATTTAGATTTTGGCATTAAATAACCCGTAAAGATGTTGATATTCCGCTAAACAAAAACAACTAAATAACTTCTTTAGAAATTACTTTGTTTATGTTTGGATAAGAAACTGAGCAGATTTGAGCTTTTAAGAATCTGGGATGAGAGGAATTGTGCTTCAGGGATTCAGCCTTGCTTGATCGACAATGCTCTTCATTGTCTAAAACACGTTGGATCTAAAGATGGTTTCTCCTACAAAGGGGGATGCATGTTTGAATTCTGCCAGAGGGCACATATTTCTCTTTAATAAAATTTCTACAATATTCAGGCGAACAAACAAAAATAAATATGTTGTTTAAAATAAATGGAGCATCTACTAAAAATAACATTTAGAATGATAAAAATTTGTTGCTATGTGTCATCCCTACATTTATAGTAAAATGAATAAAAATTCTCAACATTTTACAAACAAATATACATTCATACATACATACACACACACAGTATAACAACCCATTCTTCCACATTTAAATAAAAATGCACACATATACATACAAACACATCAATAAGGCACTAACATGAAAAAAAATGAAAAAACATTGAACACAATAAACATTCATTTTTCAACATAATCTCCTTCCTTGTCAATTTAGAGCTGAATATTAACCACACAGAATATTATAGTGAAAGTTCTAAATCAAAATTCTGTTAAAAACTACATATCAATCTGCTGTCTTACTGATACATCATTTATATATATATATATATATATAAAGACATTTTTATGTTCATACATTCTTTTTATAGATACAAATATTTAAGTAAATGCTCTGTTTATAGTAAACAGTATTAAACATTTACTGGCCTGAATGTCCAAGAAATTTTCACAGAAAATATTCGTCCTCCAACAGGATTCGAACCTGTATCCTATACGGAACCATCATTTAGCTTGATGTGCCATAACCAATTTGGCCACAGAGGAGCGTTTGGTTAGCAAGGTCGAATTTACTGTATTTGAACTTCAATCTTCTATGAATCTTTCACGGACATTCATATCTACTCATGGCGTATCAAATGTAAACAAATGACATCACATATTATGAAATGGACAAAGTCCGACAATTATTTTAAGACATTTTTATGTTTATACATTCTTTTTATAGATACAAATATTTAAGTAAATTCTCTGTTTATAATAAATGATACCCGCTGGATCATTGACTGGTGGACCCTTTTAAATACTTCCACTCAGTTTCAAATGGTTTAACACATCTCCATGACATGTTAATGAAGGACTGAGGTCAGGGAAGAATGTGCAGGCCATGGAATTAATCCTCACCTACCTATCCATTTTTATGGTAGATGTCAGCCAGTGTATCATGAGCAATGTGACTAAAATATGCTGGAATTCAATCATGCATGAATCCATGAACCACATATGTCTTTTTATTAGCAGGCATACATCTTCTTGCATGTTTGGAAGTGTGTTCGAAATAAAGTCCCTGTAGACAGTTCCTGTAAGTCATGCTGGGAGAACATACTACTAGACAGTCACCTACAATTCCAATAACTTGCAGCTTTTCAAGGTTGCAACTATAATAGGCTCATCTTAAGTTAACTTTCTCATTGATACAAGGGCATCTGTAACTATACTTCCTAGAGACATAGCTTGAGGACTATATCTCAACCCTAATCCTATTCGTTTATCATTGGCCACAGGTGATAATATTCCTTGTCATAGGAATTGCTGGTCTGCGAAACTTATTCACATGGACAGTAGGTGTAGCAGAAACTCTCAATCCATTATTAGGGGCAAACTTACTCAGACATTATTCTCTAATTCTAGACTGCAGTACTGGAAAATTGTGTGACAACAAAATGGAACACTACATCAAATGATACCCTGATCCCCAGAGGCTTCCACTCAAAAAAACTAATGGACATACAAAAAAAAGTACTTAACATTTGATCATGAACTTTTAGTAGCTTACTAAGTGTTATAGTGGAACACACCTATTCTATAGTTAATAGACTCTCCCACCTATAATAAGTAGGAGTAGTAGGAGTTGCTCAGGGAGTTGGTCAGTCAGTCGATGTCAGACAACCGTTAGTCGGATATTAAAGTATCAGCGACCACAATTAGATTTCTCTGCGTCATTACCTATTATATCAAGTTCCTAATGTTTTGTACATCGAACCTATTTTAGGACTGACTTAGTACAAATACAAGCCTCCACTGTGAAACTACTCTACAACACTTGGTGACGACGATTCAAACTCATACGGAAGAAGAAAAATTTTTGTTCACCCTACAACACTAAATTGTACTACATTTCAGACCACAAATAGAAGGAAAACAGTTATATTGTTTAGAGGTCATTAAACCTATACCTTCTACCAATGTCTGGTTAAAAAAAAAAAAAGAGTCAGGTAATTTCTTGAAGCTCCTTTCTCTGGACCCTAGAAGGTTATTACCAGACATGAAAAATACTTCAGAATAGAGAATTACAGAGGAAAACACCTCACAGTCTCTATTGAGATATTAAAAGCTGTGACATTATTACAAATGCACAAGAAACATCCAATAAAATCACCACTTGAACAACCAAAACTTACAGAACACTCAAAAGAACACCCATTATCAAAAACAACAATGATACGTTCCAAGAGGAGAGTTCATTTCTCCAAAAACAATGACTATTTTTACTTTAAATAGGCATCCATCACTACCAATTAGCACCACTAATTTGGCGGGGATGTGATGTAGGGATATTATTATTATTATGAATAAATAAAAATGAAATATAAAATAATAATATTAATGAAAATTATAAATAAAATAAAATAGAATGTAACATAAAAACTTTGTTTAAAATCAATTAAGTAAAAAATAAAAATGATAAAAATACTCCCAGCATGCAACAAAAATTGTTCCTGGCAGAAATATGGACATCCTACCAAAAGATGTAAAATTCAACCTCTTCACGATGAACCTTGGTACAGGCAACACTTGTCCAACTTCTCATTGTGATATGGCTTGTAAAGCTATAGAGTAAATTCTCCCTTTTATCATATTTCTGCTGCTATGATGAGAAGCCCCACATCTCTATTCATATCTATCTATCTAGTTATATCTGTCTATACCTGTTCATATCTATCTATCCCAGTTCACATCTATCCATCTAGCTATGCCTGGTCATATTTATCTCTGCCTCTTCATATCTATCTTTTTATCTCTATGTGTCCATATCTATCTATGCCTGTTTATATCTATCTATATCTGTCTTTGCCTGTTCTTATCTACCTATCTATCTATGCTTGTTCATATCTATTTATGCTACTTCATGTCTATCTATGCATATTTATATCTATCTATATCTGTCTATGCCTATCCATATCTATCTCTAGCTATCTATGCCTGTTCATAGCTAGCTATCTATCTTCCTATCTATTTATGTTCATATCTATGTCTGTCTATGCCTGTTTAGATCTATCTATCTCTGTTCATATCTATCTCTGTTCATCAGAGCTGCTGAAATTAGTCTAGTGTTTATGGAAATAAAAGCATACTTGACAGGAAATAATAGGAAAAGCATGGTTAATTTCATACTATTTATTTATATTTTTTTGTGTATTGGTGCGTGTATTTTTTGGTTTCAATTGTTTCATGGTACATGTGATAAAAGGGAGAATTTATTCCATAGTGTTACAAACCATATCACAGAGAGAAG